ATTACTACAACTACAAAATTCACATATATATATAATTGTATAGTTTGATAACAAATTCGTTGAAAAAAGATTCTTCTATGCATCACCTGTTCAAAGTGCTTACAGGAGTAAGACAAGGCTGCAAATTATCACCGATGATATTCTTAATTTTGGTGGACTGGATTATTCCTCAGACTCTGCCTATGGAGCGAGTGGTCAACAATACGTTGAACTGACCGACAAGAAGACTCTGAAAGATCTGGGATTTCACAGGGGTGATTTATTGTCTGATGTCACCCAAACTCAAAGACACGCAAGTGAAAACCAAAAAAAACTGTCTGAAGTGGCAGGCAACGAAGATGGGACTCCAGGTGAACATAGAGAAGACGGAGATAACCAACCAACTGCAATCATCATCAGTGGGAGAGATTTGAAAGTGGTCACTTACTAGTTTCACTAATCTAGGAAGTACCGTTCCAATCACGGTCAGTCGGAACGGATGAAGACGTCAAAGTCAGTGAGAACTGGAAAGGTAAGACAAACCTTCATCAACTTGAAACCAGTTTCGAAACCTTCTATACTAACTGAGCCAACATGAAGAACAAGATACAGATTCTGTTCAACACAATAGTGGAGTCAGTCACAGGTCATAAACTTGGCCAGAGTGTCACAAAAAGGATTTCCAACGACCTGTCACAGACCTTTATCCATGGGTACCTTCGCTGGCTGCATATTGGAGATCAAATGGCCAGCCGGCTGGCTAGAAAGAATTAGCAACAAGAAACTCTGCAGTGGAACAAACCAACCAAGAACCTGTTGCTCAACACGTATGACGAAGGAAACGGTGATGGATCGGATACACTTTGAGGAGACCGTTGAATAATGTCACATTCTAGGCCAATGGCTCGAGTGGAACCCGAATATGGAAACGACGAGTCTGACATGTGGCTGAGGGTGACTTGGAAGAGGGATTGCAAGGACAAGATTGGAGATTATAGGCAACCATGGGAACAGCTACAGATGACCGTTGAGAATTAGAAGCCACATATTCCGTTCTCATTTAAAGGGAACAATAATAATAATAATAACTGTCTCAGAATATTCCATTCTGAGATCTTAACGGTGTTATAGGTAATCTTTAAAGCTGTTTCGATATCATATCAAGTAAGTGTTTTGTTTTTAGCCGTTCTTCTAGGAAGTTGAGTTTTCATACTAGCTTGGGAACATCTTCGAGTGTGTTTAAGTAAAGGTGTAGTTAAAAACCATCAACAGTTCGATATTAGACCACTTGGTCCAAACTGGCCAACTACAAAGCCAGAATTAAAGAATCCTTCTCTATCATTTACCGAGTACCAAATTAATTGTCAAAAACCCCCAGGTACTGCATACTCTAAACAACAGAGGTTATCGCGATTCGCGTGTAACAACCGGTGCTCTATGTGCAGAAGAAATAGATCCAAACCAGCCACTACTACTGCCCTGGCTGGCCTTCAATGGAGGCTATAAACTCATGAATATGTATTATTATCTCTCTTAATCTATCTGTCTGATATTCACTGTAGTGTATTGTTACGTTGACACTATCGAACTGTAATCCATTGATATCATTGTTATTATTATTGATTCGATGTTATTCAAACAACATTAACGTTGTTAATAGCACTAATTCACTCACTAATATGTATATATATATAAGTGTGGAATCTGATGAAGACCAGGTTACTGAAAAGAATATTCTTTGTTCAGTAACCAGTGTTTCGATATCACTTAGTTCTTGATCGAATTTTGAAATCATTCAAACCCCTGCAAACCTAACTATGAAAACTGTCATTTCTTATCATATGGTTTATTCTGATGACTTCTAAAGCGTGTGACAAGGCAATTTAAATAAGTAAATTAATATAAATGTGTCCAAATGCTGGTTCGCTCATAATCATGTGTGTGTGTGTTTGTATTTTCACTGATATGAATTGTTTGAATAACCCTGTAACATGTCAGATATTGAATCTGCGTTTAACTTCGCCATTATAACAAAGTGAACTGTAATATTGTACAACATATTCTGAAGAGTTAACCAATAATAAAACTTACAAACAGAATTATACACAAATGTTACTGTATTTTGAAAAGGCTCTTTGAAGTTTCCCAACACTCAAGATCTTATGGTTTATCTTTACCACACTAAAAACCAAAGGAGTGAAATAGTAAGGGAAACGAGCCAGAGTTTTACAGAACTAATTAAATATCATTCCACTATCTAAGGATAAATGGCGCCTGTCAGTAGCTAGAGCTTTAGCTAACTAACGTCACCAAATGAAGTTATACGCACCAATGACAGAGTTATTTCAGCTGATTCGTCCAGTAGAACATTAGTTTCTTCCCTGCTTTGTTAATTTGCAAATCTATATCTTATGCTTCCTAACTTAATCTGGGACTTAGTGAATTTATTATCTTTAAAGGTTACTAACCATTGTACACAGGTGAACCAATGCAAAGATGCACAACAGAAGGAGAAGCTAAGTTCATGTACACTGAAGTGAATAAAGAAGGGAAGAAGAGTACTGGGAAAGACAAAAATCAATTCTACGATACACCTGCTTGCAACTGAGGCATCACAGGCCGTAGATAAAAGCGACTTCAGAACACTAATTATATCAGATAACCAGATGTCTATCCAGAAAAATATCAACGCAGATGAAGCCTATCAAAGACAGTCAGGTGAACAGAATTACCTACCAGAGAGAAGTGACAAATCAAACTATGGGCTGGTAACTTTAAAGAACTCTCGAATCGAACATCACCTGCAACTTGCCTAGAAATACCACCAACAGCCACAGAACTGCCAGTGGACACCAATCCTCCAACAGAGGCTGAAATCTTGAATGCAGCCAAACTACTGAAGTCCAGAAAGGCATCAGGACCAGACGGAACTCCTCCTGAAGCACTGTAAACACACAGAGACTGCAGCGGATGTGATTACAACCCTATTGCAAAACATCTGGAAGGAAAGAAACGTACCTACTGATAGCGAGAAGAGTTACCTTGTCAAGGCAACAAAGAAGGGCGATTCAGGCTTGTGCAAGAACTGGCGTAGAATCATGCCTTTGACTACACCAGGTAAAATACTAGGTCGCATCATCCTGAAGAGAATACAGGATGCACTGGATACAGAACTCCGCTAGCCCTCAACAAGTTGGATTCAGGAAAGGCAGTACGTGTGCTGATCAAGTTGCAGCTCCGTGCATCGTCATCAAACAAAGTGTAGAATGACGATCAAACCTCCACCTGAACAAGCTCATCAACTTCGAAGAGGCCTTCAACACACAACGTAGACCAAGATGTAATTTGGAAACTACTTCAACACTACGGATTACCTCAAGTCTTTATCAATCTCATTCAACGGCTATATGACAGTGGCACGTGTTAGGCTATCCACAGCGGAAAACTCAGCGGGGCATTCAAAGTGCTTACGGCAGTAAGACAAGACTACCTGCCTGTTGCCACCGATGATATTTTTAATTGTAGGGGACTGGACTATGTGTCACACTCTGCATGGAAACGAGGAGACAGGGATACTTTGGACGACAGAAAAGAAGGTTCTAGAAGACCTGGATTTCGCGTATGGATGATTTATGTTTAGTGTCTCTCAGACTCAAAGAATTGCAGGCGAAAACCAACAAACTGTGTGGAAAAGGAGGCAGCGGAGACAGGACTGCAGGTGAACATACTGAAGACGGGGGATAAAGATAACCATCTGACCAACAGCAACAACAACCAGCACCAGTCACCCACCATCAACGGGAGAGATTTAACAGAGGTTACTTCTTAGCTTCACTTGTCTAGGAAGCATCGTTTCAGCTACAGACAGTTGGGACGGGTGAAGATGTCAAAGTCAGTGAGAATCAGAAAGGCAAGATACACCTTCATCAACCTGAAACCAGTTTGGAAATCTTCTACACTCAGTCAGCATAAGGAACAAGATTCGCATTTTCAAAACCAATGACAAGTCGGTACTTCTATGCGTGTCAGAAATTTGGCCAGTGTGCCATGGAAAGCATTCGCAGCCGAACGCAGATTTGTATCGACAGCTGCCTTTACTGGCTCCATATTGAAGATGAAATTATCGTCCATACAAAATAAGTGACAGAAAACTCTGGGAACTAACCAACCAAGAGCCAATCGCTCAACAAATATTCTGAAGAAACTGAAGATGAATCAGAGACACATTGAGGAGACTACCGAATGATATCATTCCACAACCCAACGAGTGGAAGGCGAAGTGGAAACAACGGGTGGGGATGACATGGAGGAGATCATGCAAGGGGGAGATCAGAGTCTACAGACAGTCATAGGGGCAGCTTAAGTGGATTGCAGAGAGTAAAACAAAGTGGAGACGTGCTTTGAAGCCCTATATATCACTCGGAACCCAAGATAACAATAATAAGAAGGAGAATAAGCCGTCGCACAGCTTGAAATAACTAGCTAAATGTGATACCTGTTTGCATTTCCGCCTTCATGTATAGATGTTGTTCAACCATTTGATTCGATAAGATTATCACGTATATACTTTCAATATTCAACGAGAAATTTTCACAAAACATATTCTGACCTTATTAAACCCATGCCATATATTTTCATATTTCTTACTAGTTTTTATTCTGATTTCAGGAAATAAATAATTAAATATTCTAAATTCTAATACTTATTTATTGAACAGTTTAAAAAGTGTGTCACATAAATCAATATATATATATATATATTTAATAAATTTAAACAATGTACAAAATATCAATTGAACATTGGATAGTTTCGATATAAATGCTTTAAAGTTAACTAGAAGTTAAATAAATTTATTACAGGTAATAAGTTCAAAATATGCATGTTAAATGATATTTCAGTGCAATTTGTTCTATCATATTTTGTTTGCTAACAACATTAGAAACTACAATTTATTCAGAGAACTACTCATCACTATGAGAAAAACCAGATAAAATACATTGTGATGTCTAAGTGTAGTAGAACTATTACAAAATTCACCTCGACAATAGCACACAGTTCTTTGCAATCCTGCACCACCAACTGAATTAAAACACCCAACACCATAACCCTCTGGAATTGCTGCACATGTACGTGAGACAACGACAGCAGCTAATTTCGGTACACCAATTTGTGGTTTCACTCGCCAACTTTTAGTAACAATCTTTGCACAACCATCATAATTGATATTTTCACATTTTCCATAATTATCTGAATCAATAAGTGATTTAATAGCTGAACGATTCCCTTTTTCTGAGCATAGCCTTGAAATTTGTAAGGCGGTCAATCCACCTCTTAGTTGATTTCCATTACTTGACATACTGGTCCAACCACCGACAACTGGTTTCCCACCGAACCATGCCAGTCCACTGCTGGGATTAGGACGTAGACCAGAGTCTGAGACTAGACTGGCATAGTTATCACAAATGAAACATCTTTGAGGTATTCTTTTCCTATTCCAGTTAAGCATGTCGCTTAAATCTGATTTTTGAATAAACGTAATTATTCCAGCCAGTGTTATGATAGATATAACAAACAGCCATGTAGTAGACGTTGAGTAAAACTGTAAAAAGGAGGCAAGTGACAACATGATCAATAACTCACTCAATATAATACATTTATATATGCATACTATAGAGTTGGCGAAAACAAATTAATATGAACATTGAGAATACAAGGAAATGTAATTGATGATCTGGAACTCTATTTTCGGTTCACGGATGATGCAATTTTCATGATTAAAAATGAGGATGAGGCAAACAACATCCTGGAATAAATTTTACCATCGAGAAAGAAAGAGACTCCAGTATTTCTTCGTTCTTAGACGCCTTTATGACTAGAAAGCAGGACGGGACAATAAGAAGAAGACGTGCATATATAGAAAACCTACATCAGCTGACTGTCAGTATATTCATTAATTCAGCCTCATGCTTTTGAAATACAAACGCAGTTTAATACAGTGCATTTGGTCCACAGAACTACAGCGATCCTCTTTGATCAATGTCTTAACAATGAAGAGCTTAGTATTATTAAACAGTTTCTGAGTGAAAATGGTGACCCCGGAAGAATCAGTGATAGGAATATAAATCAAAAGTCAAGACAGCCCAAGGTACCAATAGTTCCGAAAAAGACCTTATTCTTAAAACTTCAGTTCCTCGGGGATAAGATATGTGAAACATTTTAACGGCGGTAGAAAGAGCAGTCAGTGCTGCTGAATTATGCTGTGTCTTTAAAATGATCACTATTTTGCGTTTAGGAGTAAAAGATAAACTGCCTAGTTTCGCCTGTTCTTTGTGTATCTATCAGTCTGACTGCTCCTGTGGAGTGAACCAGTTGCATAGTCCGGACAATAAGGCATGTTTCTCGTCAGATTGCTGAACATCATCCTGCGTGATTAGGTAAAGGACAAACAAAATCCATCCATAGCTCTATTCTCTCTCATCTCGTGGATACAGAACACAAAATTGATGTAAACAAGGTGGCTTTCAAAGTCACCTACCACATGTCAACTAATCCTAATTTTACGTCAAGAGTTTATCCACTACATGTTGCAGAGGCTGGCTATTGGGATCCACAATAAGAAACCTAACTTATGTATCAAAAAGAAGCTAGTTCAGACATTGTCGTCTTCACCTTGGCCATCTGGTACGAATAATCCCCAATTTTTTGTAGAAATTTCCTGAATTGTAGTTGATATTCTATATCTTATTATATTATTATTATTATCATTTATTCATCTTTAGTGAACTGTAATTCTATTGATCTTACTTAACAAATCGACAGTATTTGTTAACGCCAATATTGTTAATGACGATTATTCTAGAATATTCTAAGTAGATAAACATATATATTCAAGTGTTGGTTTGTAGGGATTTGATTGATTTCAGGATTTCATCATCAGCTGACATTAGTTTGAGAACCATTGGAAAACCTGGGAGTACTGGACAGCTGTTTCGTCCTAGTTTAGGACTCTTCGAATCCCGATGGGTGCGTACTGCTGAAGAGTCTCAAACTAGGACGAAACAGCTGTCCAGTACTCCCAGGTTTTCCAATGGTTCTCTAACTAATGTCAGCTCATGATGAAATCCTGAAACCAATCAAATCCCTACAAACCAACACTTGAATACCAATGAGATGCTCACTGGCGACTGGCCCTATTCATGTAGGTAGTTACCTGGGTTCCAGTGGGAAGTCGTGACCAGTAGGGTGTGGCTGGTCGGGTGTGAGGACAAATACTCGCCGAAGACATTGGCTAGCGGTTGCGCTATGTCGTGAATTGGCAGAAGTTAGAATTCAAGGACCATTGGATCGGGTCCCAATGGCTTAATGGTATACGAGCTCGCCTTGTAACCGGAAGGTCCTGGGTTCGAATCCCGATGGGTGGGTACTGCTGAAGAGTCCCAAACTAGGACGAAACAGCTGTCCAGTACTCCCAGGTTTTCCAATGGTTCTCTAACTAATGTCAGCTCATGATGAAATCCTGAAACATCTATATATTTGTAGAGCCAGAAGAGGAAATTATCGGAAAGGATATTCTTCACTCGGCTTTTTTTCTGAATGTCTGAATAAATATTTTAAATATAAATATATATATATATATATATATAATAATATATATAAATAAATATTATAAATATAAATATTTTTGTTAAGCTGCGTTTTATAGGCGCCAGTATTAATACTTTGCCGATGCCTTCTAATTTCAGATCATGCTTAATGCTCATAGCCTCTTGTATGAGAGTAAGTGTACTAAAACCACTTCATATTGGGCCGGTAAGAGAGTGGTTCAATGGTAGAATGCTAGCTGACCAAGCAAGTAGTCCGGATTCGACTACCTGATAACTTATCACTAGTCATCACTTATATTACTAGCCGGTGGTAATCCTGGAAAAGAGGAGAGGTCAGACGCTAACTTAGCAGCTCCAATCGTTAAGACCACTACCATTGCAAGGGAAAATTCGAAGCTTAAATTCATGTGCTCCCCCCAGAATGAATAAAAGTGAGACACACAAGGTGCTATAATGGTGGATAGTTTCAAATTTGAAACATGAAAGCTGGAGAACCGCATTCCCCTCATACCCACTTCCTGTTGTGATGATTATTATTCCTTTGAATTTTGAGTGGAAAACAGGGCTTCAACTGCACATCTCCATTTCTTCTTGTTTTGTGAACTACCCTTTTTTTATCTGGCTCCATGATTATTCATAAACTGTCATCGCCTCCTCATCCCACGATCTATTTCATATCGCCTCGAAGTGATACTCAACGTGTCGTCTCTCATTTGAGTTCCATTTCGACCGTCTTCTCAGTATGTCCTAGCTACCTCCATTTTACTTCGACATCTTTTTAGCGCAGTAGGTTCTTGCTTGCTGTTTCGTCTTCAGCATCTATTATCGTCTATCCTTTCCGGTTATCTGACCATGTGAATGCAGCTGTTGATAAACACTCTGAAACCTGTTAGAAACTCCTTTCGGGACACGCGCGCCAAGCCTCTGACCACTACGGAAGAACTAACTTAACAGTGGTGTTTTAAATCTGAATTCTATTTACAATGCTCAGTGTAGAAGATTTACAAAATGATTTCAGAGGGACGACGGTCTGCTTTGTCTTAACGATTCTGGCTTTGAATCCTCACCCATCGGGTTGACTGTAACTGAAACGATAGTGCTTAGATAATTGAAGGAAGTGACCTCTCTGAAATCCCTCCCGTTGATAGTGATTGGTGTATATCGCTGTTGTTATTGTCGACTGGTTATTTTCATCACCAGTGTATTCTTTATGTTCATCAAAAGTCCCATCTTCGCTATTTCTACTGCCTACTTGTCCGTTTTCGTCCGTGGACCTTTGAGTTTATATGACACAGATTTAAATCGTCCGCAAATTCCGGACTCCAGTCACTGAAGTCCTATTATGAGACTACCATATTCCTGACTTCTCACCTCTCACAGTCTGTCACATAATCCAGTTTACCACAAATATGAATACCGTCAGTGATATTAAGCATAGAGCCTTGTCCTACCCCAGTCTTCACCTAATTCCCAAATACATTGCAATTTAGCAGTGAAATAGAATTTCTCTACATCAACAATTTCTGCCATGAATTATTCTTGTAGTTTAAAAGATTTTTTGAGCTATGAATATCAATTGAGTGACCAATGGCATAGTGTATAACACTTTGGTATGCATGTCCAGTTGATAAGTAAAAACACAGTTTTTTTGTTCAGCGAAGAAATTTCTTTTCAATGACTTCATTTTCAAGCCAACTGTACAGTCGTATTTATATAACACAGGAAAAGGTTATTAAGTGGCACTAAATAATTGCTCAGTTAATATACATATATGTGTGATAAGAATAACGATAATTACAATGTTATAAGGGGTAGAGTTGAAGTGAATAAATTACAAGATTATTAAAGATTGATTTATAAGTGAATTGATACCAAAAATATTTTTAAATGAAAAATCCCAAGCGTTGTCTAAAAATTTTAAAAATTAGGAGTACGATTATGATAAGAATAAAGATGTGAAGTGAAGTGGAATGAATTCAAGTCGTAAAATAAAACATTACTATGACCAAGGTAAAGAAAGGGGTTTGACAAAACATTTTTGAACACATAATTTAGGTTTCTGTTCATGTATAACTAAAGCTTCGGTTAGCTATGCATAAGTGAAGAAAACGTAAACTTTTGGATCGATTCGATTTCGTCATGTAAATAACCTTGAAAGATGAATCATGTGGGGCTAAATGACCAGACTCTAACAGGTGATCACAAATAGAGGACTTCGCAGTTCTACTTTCGCCTTTCATTAGCCAAACCGGATAGTGTTCAGCTACACGTTTTCGGAGATTACGCTTACAATGTCCAATATAATCAGCTCCAAAAGAGCAGGTAAAAGAGTAAATGCACATAGATGTAGACATAAGCAATGATCTATCCTTGACGCATTGTCTAATCATGTTTTGGCTGTAAAAACTGGTTGGAAGTCAGCTGCAGGAAAAGTGCGTTTAATACATTTAGATAAACGATTTTTAATCAATTCCGAAATGGTGTCACCTTTGAATGCAAGACTCATAAACAGTTTTTTCTTTGGCGTTGTGATTTGTCTAGGGGCGGTTTCTTTCTTGATGTTACGTTCAAGGAACCTTGTCGGATATCCATTGTTAAGTTGATAAGTTTTCAGTCGATAAGTGCCAAAAACAATGAAATGCTCATATAAGATTTCACTGCTAACATCATCAACCAAGTCGTCACTACTTAAAACAGTGATTTATATAATGATGGAGATTATTTTTGTTCAAACATTTACAAACCACTTATTTCATTCAGTACTATAAGTTACTACACATCATGGGGAAATTAATTAGCGTATTTTGTATAAAATCTGAGTTTAAATAAACCCATGAATTTCTCCTGTTATGTACTGGTCGAGAATTTAATAGTCCTGACGCAAGAAAGACGGAAATCAGAAGACCACTAGGTTTGCGATGATACTTCTATTTTCCAAACACAAGGAGAATCAAAGTCACACAAGAGTGTGAGAGCAAAAATATATGAATGTCCG